TTCGAACAAAATAATTGTTATCAAATAAAATAACTTTGACAGTATTTTGAAATTATATTTACGTGGGCCAAATATTGATGTCAAAATACCTAATGTGTTTCTAGCCTGTTTGCTCGTTGTAAGTGGTAAATAAAATGGTAAAAGCATATAAAAGTCGTTCTATTATCCAGAATTTTGCCTCAAGCTAATAAACAGATGTATTGTCAAAAATTAAATCTACATATTATATTCACGCTTCCTCTGTGAATAATTGGATAACACAAAAGGATATTATTTGCAATAGCATTAGCAAAGGGAAATAACTCAAGAAATAAGGAATTTCCACATTTTCTCCTGTATTTATACATTATGATTTTGTAAAAAATTCTGTAATCATTTTCTAAATAGTTCTAGATAATTGTCTTAACCCAGACAGTCACTATATGCAATGGGTAGGGAAGTGGCAACACATTACTGTGCCCAGACAAATTGTATGGAGGTGCAATCCTAAAGTTTTTGAGGGGAGGGGATAGTTGTTTCAACCCTCCAGATAATCAGCCAAAGTGTCATTGAAAGTTGATCTCAACGCGCTGAATGCCAGCCGCAGCGGAAACATTATCTTTTGACGATTATTAGTTATTGTTTCAGCGAGCCAAGGGTTCACCCCTTGAATGAAGAGGTGCTCAGAACTACTGTGTTGTTACTTTGTCTTCTGTCTTCCTTTGATTTGGATGTTTGACTTGAATGTCTGGAATTTCGAGGATCTTGCTAACTGTGGATTAATTTGGTCGGGTGGAATTTTGGGGAATGATATTCTGTTTTGGCAATTGGTACCTTGTTGGTCTATATCACTTGTAACAAATAATTCGGATGGTTGGAAGTTTACTGTTCTTAACACAACCAATCTTGTATACATCAGAACATATTTAAATTAACCTGAAAGTAAGATTTTTTCATTTTTTCATAAACACATTTTCATTTAAACTTTTTATATTTATTTAAGCATCATAAAACTTAATTTCAGTTATCGTTTACGTTTATGGTTTGGACTCTCATCCAAACCCTTACGAACTAAATTTATCACAAAATTATGGTTGGTTTTTTGAGTATACAGGGTGATTGATATAAGTGTGCCAGCCGTTTTATTCGAAAACCATAAGAGATATAAAAAAAAGTTAAATGGTAAGTGCCTTGGACTTTTTATTTAAAAATTTTTAGTAAAGTCGAAAAAAATATTTTAGCCGCCATTTTTTCAATATGGCCACCAACTTTGATTTGTCTTATGGAACACCCTGTATTTTATCATGTATTCTGGTAGAAAATGTAATTTTAAGACGATTTTATTCGTGTGATTTTTTTCATAAACCTAACCGTTTCAAAGATAATAATGGTTAAAGTTTTGAAATTTCTGCGTGAGAAAGAGCTTCGATAAAGGCCTAAGCAAGCATACCAGTTGTTTTATTCGAAAACCATTCAAAATTTCACAACTTATACCATTATTATCTTTGAAACGGTTAGGTTTATCAAAAAAATTACAAGAATAAAATTGTCTTAAAATTACATTTTCTACCAGAATAAATCATAAAATACAGGGTGTTCCATAAGAAAAATCAAAGTTGGCGGCCATATTGAAAAAATGGCGGCTAAAATATTTTTTTTGACTTGACTACAATTTTTTTAATAAAAAATCCAAGGCACTTACCATTTAACTTTTTTTGATATCTCTTATAGTTTTAGAACAAAACGGCTGGCACACTTATATCAATCACCCTGTATTTAGGGATCTCAACGACTAGATTTCTCAGGGCATTGTCTTTTTATGGCCGTGGGTTAATTTATACTTAGCAAGCCCTCACTAGCCGTCGACTACTATCGATTATACGACTTAGTTATCGATGTTATGTTTTAATCTATAATCCAATAAAATTAAACCCATAATTAATTAAAATTCAAAGCATGAAACTCGTAATCAACACAGTCGATCCTAACACCCAATTTTACTATTCAAAATAACGAATTCTAATTAACACATCAGATGTGTTTGTCGGCGCGAATCTAAAGAAAAATCTCTACAAAAACTATTATTTCCGACTAGTAAATTAGACGCGTGGATTTTACGTTTCCGCAATATATTCGAAGAAGAAAGCTGGGAATTGGTCGCCGCCCATTTAAATATCGGGTACGGACAAGGGGGGCTGCAGCTCTACGAAACGTCGTAATGAAGCGAAGGAAGTCGTAAAGATTAATTAATTATTGTGTACCTGTAGCTGTTAGCAGGTGTATCGTTTGTTGATGAATTCTTGTTACTTTGGGGCCGAAATCTGCTGCCACATGAATAGTTGTTACTTTGGGGATGATAATTGTTGTCGGGAAGTTTATTTATTTTTGGTCAGCTGATGTGGAATGTCCCTGTATGTTTGGCGAGTAAGCATGTTTTGTCCCTTTGGTACAGACTAGGCTTATATTTAAATGCTTTGACGGTTTGTAGCTTTTTTATGTCCCACCTTTACATCGACGTTTGGTTCTAGCTAAATCTCTATACAGGGTGTTTTTTTAAAAACTTGCATCTTTATTTATGTAAAAACCGCAATAGATAGAAATATGCAGTTTGCGGGAATCATCTATTGACTTAGGTTGCCCAATTGTTTTGAATTCAACGTTACATTCACATTCCCCCCCTTTCCCCCCCTGCCATCGAAATTAAGTTCCGTGGGGGGAGGGGGGAATATCTCTCACATTTATGAACCGATTTTCAATTTTTTTTCATCAAACATTTTCTTTTTTTATGCTCTTTTATTTGATATGTCACAAGAGGTACCTTGCTGTTTAAAAAAATTAAGTTGGGGGCAGGGGGAAAAGAAGGGGAATGTGAATGTAACGTTGAATTTAAAAAGAAAATTGTGCCCCCTACGTCAATAGATGATTACTGCCAACTGCATGTTTCTATCTATTGCGGGTTTTGCATAAATAAAGATGCAAGTTTTTAAAAAAACACCCTGTATATTACAACGCTGTATCATATAGAGATATTATATAGAGTTCTTTAAGGATTGCCCGGAACTGTTTTATCTATTACAGTTCGGGGCTAGAACTTAGCGTTTGTAGCTAGTGACAGTTGCGATAGTAATATTAGTTTGGATATACATGGATTAATGTAACTTTGTATCGCAGGGACATTTTATTGGATCTTTAAACGTTCCAATAAATGTCGTAACCAAGTTCAATTAATTGAGGTACGATTATTGCTTTTTAAAAGCGTTAACAGAAAAAGTCCTATTACTGAGGGAATTATTTTGCACTGTAAATATTTTTTACATTGTGGTGTGTTAATTTTAATTTTGTCTAGTGAAGTTTGTGTAGTATTTGGCGTCAGACACTGTGAGTTTAGACTCGACAAACGCAACAAAAATTGGTATAGACAACGTATTGCGGATTACGGTATGGATAGGCTCACATTTGAAATCTATCTGTGATATGAAGGAGATATGATCACGGAGAAGGACCACCATACGTTTGTCATAGGACCAGTTTTTGCCGCAGTTTTGTGTTCTGCCAACAACACACTCTCTTGTAGTTCCGAAGTTTTCCTCCAGGAGCGCTGTCATCTCCTCCCCTTCCCACCTGGCTCTTCCCTGTATTATTGGAAACGGAAATTAAATAAGGAAGGAAATTAAAAAAGACTCAAGTGCTGCAGATGTCTGAGGACAATCGCGTAATGACAGTTTTATTTTATCTCTAATCTTCTTTGTCCCAGCCTCCTTTTCTTGATATGCTAATTTTAATTAAATTTTTACTAAACGTTCTTTTGCCGCCTAGTAGGGCCTATCCCAGATTCACTAATGAATTAAGCTTGTTAGTAAATAACTAAATCGTGTTTAAGTATTGTGGTTTAGCGTTGTTTTTTAAAAATATGTTTATCAACTCGTGTAGAAGTTGTGGACCTGTTTGTATCGCTAAAATAGACCATTATAAGACAGTGTTTCTAAATAATATGAATATTCAGGTTTTCAAGTTTTGAATGTGGAGTTACATTTAACTCACACTTTTTTGTTGTTCATCAAATGATAGAGTAGCTCAACTAAGTTTTGTATAAGCATACATGTGCTAAAACCCCAGTTTATTAAGCACAAAACAAATTGATAGGTGGTTTTTTCCAAATATTGGTTAGTGTCTTGGAATATTTGTTAAAATAACTAGATAAGTTCTGTTTGTCAAATCAAAGAGTTTAGTTAACACATAACACCGACAAATAATACTTTTCGAGTTACTATTTTTTATGTCCATTAGTATAAAAGATGATGTTGGTTAGTATATTTGTTTGTATATACATTTGGCAGTGATAAAACTCAGACACCGCTGGACCGATGGCCACGAAACTTGGTACTTAAAAGAAGAATTTCACGGAGTAGGTTAATGCTACATCAATTTCGTTATAACTTTCAGGGCTTAGCCCTGGGACCGTCTTAAAGGTACCGATATTTTGAAAGCATTGTTGTCAGATTTGTCTGCTAAAAAAACATATTTAAGTCAAATTTAAAACAGGTGATGTAAATTAATAATATGTTTTGTTCTGCCATTTAATTTTATTTGTTTTTATGAACATTCGTTTCTTGGTGCAATGTGGTTAATGAATTAGACTTTTGCATGCATTTTAAATGCAATACACTATATACAATTACATTTTCATACAACAGATATATAGAACATGATTATTCTCTTTCCGTTGCGAAGCACGGGTGGCTAGTATAATATATAACTGATTGATGTATGTATGATATAGAATAAAAACATTATATTCATTTATAAATACCCTGCACTTTTGTTTAGCTAATAAAAGTGTACTACAGGTATACAGTGCCTAGCAAAGGGATTGTGTGATGTGGCTGTATCTTTTCGCTCAGAATAAAGAGAAATGTCCACAGACTTTTTATTCTGTGGTTCCAGTAATTATCATTTCCGATCCTAACTCAGCAATCAGCTGATGTAAGTTGTTGTGTATAACATGTGTTTCTCTGTCCCAGGTTATCTACTGACCAGGGTGGAAGGCAAGATAGGTTCCCCAGAGAAGCCTCTGTCTGACCTGGGCCTCATCTCCTACCGCAGCTACTGGAAGGACGTCCTACTAGAGTACCTCTGTAACCTGGGAGGCAAGACTCTGTCCGTTAAAGGTGTGTATGGTATTTCTTATCCAACACTTATGCGGTTTGAGGGGAATCGATTCCATCCCTTCCACATCACCCAAAAAACAATACCCGATCAGCTGATTAATACATTAAGGTAAAAAACGTGGCGGCGGAACTAGGAAACCTTCCCCTTCCCCTTAAACCGCCTATATTTTTGAACTTAGTATATTAAATAAAATGATTATTTTGTGGAACATTGACCTCTAAACTTTCTGTAATTGGTTATTAGTTCAAATAAATCCAAAACTACAACCAACGGGAAATAAGCAAATGACTCGTGTGGTTTCTCCACAAAATTCAAATGCAAGGTAAGATTTAAAAATGTATCAAGTCTTGGTTATGTATTTACAGAGAGAGAAATTATCTTCATGGTTAATACAATTCGGTCAGAAATTGACTAAAGATGTTTTTCAATCAACTAATGCATATACAGTATGTTTTGTAGTTTTTACTGCCCCTTATCGTCGTAAATATGGCATCAAAACTTAAATAAGGTGCATGATTACCGTAAAGAAAGAAAAGCTACGAATTATTATAAAAAACCAACAACTAAAAAATACAGGATGCTTAAAAAATATTCCTCGGTGGATAAATCCGAGTACTGGAAACTACTAGAAGTGATGCATTTCATATGTTATTCTGACCAACTAATCCCCCTGGAAATCTGTTACAATACTCATTGACTACGTGTTCCACAAAATCGAAAAAATGTCATAGTAGCTATATTGAAAGAGGGTGATTGTAACCGAAAACAGTGCTGTCTTTTATACCTAATAGATGGTTTACCCTATATTTACCTTTGATGGGTTTTTTTTCAGACATAAGTCAAGAAATGGCCATAAATTCCTACGACATAGTCAGCACTCTCCAAGCTCTTGGTATGATGAAGTACTGGAAGGGGAAGCACATAATTCTAAAGAAACAGGTACAGTATGTTTTTTATCCAGATTTCAGTGTACAAATGCGTGTTGTTTTTTTTTTTCAAAAAGAAGTAAGCTAGTGGGTTATTACTGTTCATCGTATGTCATTTTGTGAAAATTATGTTACCACATTTATTTATGTCTTTCAAACCTATTTAGAAATCTTTGTCGCCAATAATTCCTTCTAAGAACACATCCTGACTAACAAAACAATGAATGTAGATTCGTAGTGGATATAGAGATATTAGTTTTAACTTTTTGGAACGTATGTTATTGGTCTAACATTTTCAGTCTAGTCTATGTGATGGGAAATGTCCGTCATAATTCCTTAAATCTACTCTGACCACCAATAAATGTCTAACAATGGATATATATTCGTAGTGGATATACAGATATTAGTTTTAACTCTTTAGAGCGTATGTTATTCAGCGGTCGTTACATCATTTTCCATAAAGTTTATGTGGTGGAAAAGGTCTGTCATAATTCCTTAAATCTACCCTGACCACCAATAAATGTCATACAAAGGATATAAATTCGTTCTGTTTTTAAGGGTTTTACATATATAGTACAGTGCAATTAGCTTAAAAAAAGAGCAAACCGGGACATCCAAAAAAAAGTTTCAAACCAGTGCCAAATTGTTGAATACACTTCCCTCAATATGTAAAAAAAGTTACACTGATTTGAGTGTCGGGTTTGGGGGGGGGAGGGGGTGAAAATAGGACCTTTTTTACTTTTTCGCAAATACCTCAAAAACGGTGCGTTTTTCTTAAAATATAATGAATTACAAAAATAATCTACATTAAATTTCGAACAAAATGATACCATACAATACCTATCTACTATGAACGGTTCAGGTAATATTGAGGGGTAAATGTGATTTTTTTCTTAAAATTCTAAAAAAGTTGTTTTTTAAATGGAGGAAACCCATGGACACCTATAAAAAAAGTTTCTAATGAGTGCCAAATTGTTCAATAAACCTCCCTTGATATGTATAAAAAGGTTACACGGATTTGAGTGTCGGATTTGGGAAGGAGGGTTAAAAGAAAAGGGGGGGGGGGTGGATGGGACTTTTTTTACTTTTTTGCAAATACCTCAAAAACGGTGCGTTTTTCTCTAAATATAACAAATTACAAATATAATCTACATTAAATTTCGAACAAAATGATACCATACAATACCTATCTACTATGAACGGTTCAGGTAATATTGAGGGGTAAATGTGATTTTTTTCTTAAAATTCTAAAAAAGTTGTTTTTTAAATGCAGGAAAACCATGGATACCCATAAAAAAGTTTTTGTTCTTTGCATTTTCTCTATTAACTTACTCGTTTATGAGCTACAGGATGCGGAATGTACACAACAAGCCTTTTTCCATTAGTGTAACATGCTGTAACTCCTAAACGAGTAGCTTTTAAGAGAAAATGTCAAAATTAAAAATGTTTTTAAATTGGATTTATATACCAAAACAATCATAAACTACAGGGTGTTCCATAAGAAATAACAAAGTTTTCGGCCATATTAGAAAATGGCGAACATATTTTTAAAATTGGGAACCATTCCAAATCATCTAAAAAAATAAAGGGGAGTGTCCCATAAGAAGTCAACTAACTGTATAACCCATGATAAAAAAGTTAGCTATTGGTTCACTTTAGGTGAGACATCCTGTATTCAGGGAGTCCTGTAAGTAAACAGCCAAACCCCAGGAAATGGTTCTATGGGTGAAAATAAAAAGAAAATCAAGAGTATTTTTTTTCAAAATCGCTTCGTTAACCAGATATTTGCCATTTTGTTTTTTTCACAAAAACATTATTTCATCTCTGAATTTTTTTACCGATCATTAACAAACTTAATATGTATGTTGAGGTAAAATAGACCCACGTTAGAAAAAAATATCTTAATCCAATAAAAATTTTAAAATGGCGGCCATTTAATTTTTTCAAATTGAAATTGCTAGAAATGGCTAATTTTATGAAAAAATGTCTGTAACACTTTTATTAAGCTTTTAAAATAATAAAAAATAAATAAATATTACGATTTTTATTTGTAAAATGAGGCAACCCTGAATAGCGTAGCCTTAATCACAATAATTTTACAACTAAAAATCGTTGTAACTTCAGTTATTTTTTATTTCATCTTCTTAAGAATTCAAACGGTAGAAAGTTCACCGTGTTCCCGTATCTAGGTAGGTTTGTCTTTTTTAGGTAGGTAAGTCATATTTAATTATATTGTAGTTATATTTGTGATAAAATGGAAAATAAAAAGTGTTACTTAACAAAATTTACAAAATTACTTATGAATAAAATTCCCAACCCCGTTTTCACACCCTCCTACCCAAGACCGGCACGAAAATCAGTGTAACTTTTTTACACATATTAAGGGAGGGTTATTGAACAATTTGGCACTTGTTAGAAACTTTTTTTATGGGTGTCCATGGGTTTCCTCCATTTAAAAAACAACTTTTTTAGAATTTTAAGAAAAAAATCACATTTACCCCTCAATATTACCTGAACCGTTCATAGTAGATAGGTATTGTATGGTATCATTTTGTTCGAAATTTAATGTAGATTATTTTTGTAATTCATTATATTTTAAGAAAAACGCACCGTTTTTGAGGTATTTGCGAAAAAGTAAAAAAAGTCCCATCCACCCCCCTTTTTCTTTTAACCCTCCTTCCCAAATCCGACACTCAAATCCGTGTAACTTTTTTATACATATTAAGGGAGGTTTATTGAACAATTTGGCACTCATTAGAAACTTTTTTTATGGGTGTCCATGGGTTTCCTCCATTTAAAAAACAACTTTTTTAGAATTTTAAGAAAAAAATCACATTTACCCCTCAATATTACCTGAACCGTTCATAGTAGATAGGTTTTGTATGGTATCATTTTGTTCGAAATTTAATGTAGATTATTTTTGTAATTCATTATATTCTAAGAAAAACGCACCGTTTTTGAGGTATTTGCGAAAAAGTAAAAAAAGTCCTATTTTCACCCCATTTTCACCCCTCCCCCCCAAACCCGACACTCAAATCAGTGTAACTTTTGTTTACATATTGAGGGAAGTGTACTCAACAATTTGGCACTGGTTTGAAACTTTTTTTTTGAATGTCCCGGTTTAGGTCTAATTGCACCGTACTAATATTAAAGTTACAACTATAGTCAAAAAGTAATTTCAAAGACAAAATATACTAACGAAATTTTTCATCGTTTTCCACTAAAGAGTTGCATTTTTTACCTTTGTCACATGAAAAATTTCAACCACTTTTGATACATCAAAAGACTTTTTCAGATAATTATTTGTTTCAAACACAAGCGATTGACGTAAACAGCTTAACAGGCTAACAGGATTTAGATCGAAACAAAGGCTGAGCAAATTCATTAAAATGTGATCGTCTCTTTGCCAGTTAACACTTAAGTGGGACCCTCTCAATGGGGTCTTGTGGCGCAGGGTTCTGTGGAAATTTGCATTCATTATTTGCCAGACTTTGATAAGCCCCCCCCAACCTAATACAGACCCGTCGACCACATTTGTAGCATTTCTTTACCCCCCCCTTCCAAGCTCCAGACTGTATTATCTCTCTTGTGTTTCGAGGTCTGAATTTTTATTCCCTATTCTGTTTCTAGGTTATATTATTAGTTACGTCATAGTTATTTCATATGCAGGTCTTTTTGTACGTAGATTTATTCTAAACTTTTAAACTATGATTGCGTCTTTTTAGAGTTAGTCGTAAAGTAGAATACTTTTCGTCATTAGTCTACAAAGAGTAAAATCATAACCGTTTTCATTAAATCTTGTGTATTAAATTATAAAATATATTACTAAAATCTCATCAATAAGTTTCATGCATTTAGTCTAATTAAGATTTTCCATTGAACGTTGAATTTTATTTGTTTAAAAACTTTTACAAGGAGTTGTTAATTATTTATAACGATTGTTGTAAACTCATTTGAAAACAATGTTTATTTACCCTTTATTCTTTGACAAAGTTTTTCTGTCATTCACCATAAATTTTCTACTAATTTTCTTCAAAAAGACTATTTATTATTACTGCTTTATAAATGCAAGTACAGCTTTTCCTGGGTTATTACCGTATAAATATAGGTTCTAATAATTATATAAATTAAAATGATTAATTGAAAATACTAATAACAATATCATTATAGAATAGACATATCCCATTGTTGAATATAACATCCAAATGATTTATTTAATCTTTGTAAATACTTGCTCTGTTCAACATACTGTAATTTAATTTAAGCCTACTAATTGACTTCATACTCTATCCAACACATATGTAACACAATTATTAAATCCTTGACTATCTTTAAAATTGCCACATCTTGATTTCATTAATTATGTAGACAGTGTAGACATTTAAAAATCTATTCTTACATTATTTAAAGAATTTTAACATATTTTTTTCTTGTTATATTTACAGTAGTTTACCGCAGATAAATTTACAATAAATTACGATTTACAAGAAAATAATAATCTTTTTCACTTAATAATATTAATGATTTAGAAATATTACATAAATAATGTTTTAATAACAATGAACCCAGTGTATTTATTTGTGTATTTACAATTATAGTAATGCCAAAGGATTGAAAAACGCGTAATATTATACACAAACAAATAATTATAAATTATGTTGGGAAATTTTTTTATTATTGATTAAATTAACTTACTTACATAGTTAGTAAACACGTCCTTATACAATAAATGAATAGAAGAATATAACTAGAATAGTTTTGGAAAAGATTTACATTACATTTTAATTGTGATAACAGTTTGTTTTCAGCAGATATAAAGTGTGGGTGTAAGTGGCCTGGATGGGATAAACATTGCCAACTAATAGAGCTTTGTTTCCCCAGTTATTTTTGTCTGCAATTTACACACTTTTAGATTATTTCATTCACTATTTGTTTGCCTACCGTCTCGTTTGAATAGTGCACTGAATTGAAGTAAATATTAGTTGTTTGTCCATTTTCATTGTTTAACGTTTTGCAAAATTGATTTTACATCCAAGAAAGGGTAAAAAAATATTTGACTGTTAGATTACAATTTTTATTAATCAAACTTATGCTTTGATTTTAAATCAGAATTATTACTATTTTTACTATGAAACTGCAACGTATTGTTGTAATGCACTCAATTTCTTTAAAACTAATGAATGGCTATTGCCAAATTCAAATGGGAATTAATCGACATACAATCTAAAATAATTTAAATTGAATGCCTAATTTTAATTAATTAGAAGGTATTTTAACAATATAAAATATTTTTATTCTTCCATTCTAATACGTGTAAATAATAATAAATAGTGAAAACAAATAAAAAAAAATATTTACATAAAAACGTGTGCAATTAAACTTTATGTACTCTTATAGAAATTACCTACACCATTATTGAGCTTAGAAACATTTTAAACATTAAAATATTAGTTTTAAGTCAAAATATTTTTTAAATGCTTTACATTATTAAAAAAATAATAATACAGTTTTTAATGCTCTACTCTGTTTGTAATACCAAAGTACCGGGGGACCAAGCCTTGCTCGGTTGGATCAGACACATTTTATCATTTGCAAAAATAGTTTTTCTTTATCTCAAGAGCTCAAGCTCAAGGACGGAAACTGGAATTTTTTCCAGCCTTGTTCTCCATTCCATACTAAAACCAAATTAATATGATTAATTTAAGTTTAACACCGATATTTATCAGAAAATTTTTTTTCTTGGGTAAACTTTTAAAATTTTTGTTTCTATATTTTATGTATATTTATTCAATTTAACTGATGATTCCACAGGATGTGATAGAGGAGTATGTAGAGAGGACCAAGCGGCGGGGGCCTAGCTACAAGGAGATAGACCCCGCCTGTCTCAAATGGACCCCGTTTGTGGCCCCCCACAACCCAGCCAGCACATGAAGGCAACAGTTGGCACAAGGTAGGAATACAACTTTTATTAAACAAATTTATCGTATAAAATTACTCGATAGTTATACGTTCCAATAGTTCTGCACTATATGCTTTTTAATATGCTGTGTAATTGAAAAGAAATTGGGACATGAATTCTTCATTTAATATTGTGAATTATAATATTTTATATTTTATAATTTAAACTTTGATATTTTACACTATCTAATATGAGTTCAATAAGGTGACAGAGCTTCCAATTCTTTGAACAAAAGTCTCAAATATTGTCCTAATTTGTTTTGAAAACGTATTGTTACGTTCAGTGTTTAGTCCACCTACCTATGGTCTTACTCTTTAAGCTTCTGGTACAGTACTCAAATCATTAGGGGTTTGTAGGATTTACATAATTTCTAGATTTCTATTTATGGGTTTTACAAATCCCATACATGGACGTAGTACAGTAAAATGTACCATTATTTTAAACTAGTCTTTTTAGCAGAGCTTTTTTCTCAAACACCAGATTGTTGTCCATTTGGGAGGAAAATGAAAAAAAATCCCTGATTTGTAATTATTCAAATTAATGATTTTGATTAAAACTCAGACTAACCTAACTCAGCATAAGTTAACCTATGCCACATCCGTCCACTGAACCATACCCTAGCTAAAATCTGTCATAGCCTATCATAAGCTATCTTTAAAACATTACTTAATCCAAATCTGACTGATTGAATGATTTAAATAAAAAATAGTACTACAACTATTTGTATTACTTGTCTAGGGGAGCTGTCCAGCTGAGCCCTTGTGTCTGCCCATGCAGAGATATCTGCCAGACTATGGAACAAGCCTGCGTCTGCCGTCCGCTCCTTTTATCTTTTCTGATCCACTGAGTGTTCTGAACCAAAGTATCTCACAAGTCAACACATTTACATCTACTTGTTTTTCTCTAGGACCAAATGTTTTTGGAATCAATCTTCTCCATGACACTACGCTTTATGAGTGAGGCTGAATTAGTGAATATAGTGCTTATCCATTAATCTAGGGAAAAGTCAGTAGCTTTTTGATGGTTCAAAACTGGGCACAGCTGTTTTTGATCTTGGAGCTTATTTTGATCAATGGTTCCGGACATAGGAACTTTTGATCAGTAACAAAAGCTCACACTCTAATAAGGGTTGAAGATAGAAATTGGTTTTATTTTGAAGAAAGTACTATTACTTAGTCATTAGGGATGTTTACTCAATGATACAATGTTATGTGTTTCTATGATTAACCCATTGGGGAAGGAATTAATGCGCTTCCTGCAGTGCCAATGGGTATGGCCGTAGAATGGAGTGAGATGCTTTTTGAAGCTTTGTTACTGACTATGATTACTCTTTAGCCAGGACCATTTATTAAGAGTCCATGAAGGCTAGCGGCCATCTTGGATAATTTCAAACCGCCGCTGAAGAGTTAATTATCATCCAAAAATATTTTTTCAAACACCAAAGTAATTGTAGTTTAAATATCTAGGACACTGTGGGATTAGAAAATGTCTTTGTAGTTTTTAATTGTTTTCCAAGGGAGTCCATGGAGGCAAACCACCATCTTGGATTTGCCGTAACAGCAATGTTAATTTTGTTTATTTCAAACAGCCGCTGAAGCAAATTATATAATTTGCCATCCTAAAATATTTTTTTCAAATATCAAAATGCTTGTAATTTAAATATCTAATGCTATGTGGGATTAGAAATTTTCTTTGTAGTTTTTTAACTGTTGTCTAGGCACCAATGACTCGCTGCCTAACAATCAAGAACAGCAGGATGCAGTTTCCATTAAAAGCTACTGACTTTTGTCATGATTTAACCAGCTACCTTTTGATCACTTAGTTAGCTCTATTTGTATAAGTTATATTTAAACTGTGGTCACTAATTCATTTATCTCCTAAGTAAAATAGCTCTGTTATTTTTTGTAAGATTGCTTTAACAATTGTACCTGTTTTGCATATTTTTTTCATATAGGAATTAATTCGGCTAAATTTTTTTAACATTGTTAATATTGTTTAAGATAATTTTAACATTGATTTTATAGACCAGTTCACTTCATTGAATGAAGCAGGATAAAATGTAACAGACAATTCTTGACTACTTTGGTCATTAAATAACTTTTAACTTGTATATAATTGTGAATTTATGTGTAGTTCTTTAGTTCCTTGTTGATTGAATGCGTAACTGTTGAACTAGTTGAACTAGATTTAGTTAGATAGCATAGCAATCTTTTAAAGTGTAGTTTTAACTTTTTTAAATTTTTAACTTAACACTGAATTGTTTTTTACTTATTCAGTCTAAAAGAGAGTTTGTACATATTTCTATTTTTATATACCTGTTGTTAAACATATTATATACATAGGATTCAGCTCAACAAATTACTGTGTAATACATTTTAACTGCATGATTTTAACAAACTGTTATTAGCTTAGTTTTTACAATTTGCCATGTTGAAAGAATTTAAATGTAGTCATTATAAGCTTTGGTTGATTGTAAAGTAATGGGACATTTAGTCTCATAAAGAAGATATGTTTGATGTATGTTTGAATGTGTGAATTCGGAATGAATGAAAAATCTGACAAATTTGGCTAAAACTGTACAGTATGAACCTAAAATACTACATAATATATTATACTTTTAAAATACCAGTTACTAAAATGTTTAAGTAAATATTTACTGGTATTTATGGAAACAGGAAGAATAAGTAAATGTTTTAGTTTACTTTTCGCACATTTTGGTAGGTAGGCCTAGTTATAAATTTTACCTTGTTGGCACACAAAAATAAATTTACCTAAAAGAAAAAAAAAACTGAACAGTACAATAAAGTTTTGTCCTAACAATCAATTGGTGTACTGCAGTAGATTTAAATAACCACATTATTCATTTCTACAGTTTGAATACTGTATTCTTATCTTAATTCTACTTTACTGACTAAATTTAAATTAAATATTGAATAGTTACGAGGGTAAAAAATAGAAATTTGAACAAGATAATCAACTATGAAATTGATTTGCTTATAATCCGTTATTTAATTTTAAATATTGTTGTACATAAATATAAATAGCAGACATAATGTTGTATTATGTCTTTATTAATTGCGGCCAAAATGTAGATAATTTTTCTTAAACTGTAGTGATATCATCATGCGATGAAAGTGTACATATAATAAAATGTAAACGATGAATGTTGATACTTTTAAGTTGTATACAGGGCTGTTGTAGTTAGTGTGGATAGAATATTGGAAATGTGTTAAGTCGATTTGGTTTTAAAAAAATATGTTTGGAATTTAGTATTTTTTAATTTAAAAGAAAGGTAGTAAGACCACAATGTTTCTGTAAAATTTGTAAGTACAGTTCCACAACTAAATGCTTAGATATTGTAATAACTAATTATATTATTAAAAACTTACACATTAATTAAGTGCTGATTAAACAGTATGTAAAAAGTGGAACTGAATAAATTATTTTTAATTTGTTGACAAAATTATGATTTTTGTTAATACTTATAGAAAAAATTACATCATTGTATTATTATATATAAACTTTAAAATGTTTGAAGAAAATGATTTTAATGCAGTACATTGCAGGTAACATTTATTTATTTTACTGTTATAATTTCTAAATTTTAAATACCGGTACGGTAAGTTTTTTTTATGCTGATTCAAGCCAAGCTTTTACAAGTTCTATGTTGATTTTAAAAATTCAAACTTGAAGCCTCTTTAAAAGTACAAAATCTCAAAGATTTTTCACATTGTTAAAATCGATAAGAAAGAACCTTCTATGTGTGTTTTATTAAACCCATTTTTAGAAATAGTTTTCCATTATTTTTCATGCTTACCTGATCCCGATTGTTTCCTCTGTCTTATACTTGGTCTTTTTTATTATTGTTTGTAAAATTTAAATCTTAGTAATAATTTTTTCTTTGTTTTTCATATTTTACTTTATTTATATTTTTTTAAGTGAACACAATTTTAACTATATATGTTTTTATTGTGCTTGTTTATTAAGTTACTGAAAATATGTTATTGCTATTTTATCATTATTTGTTCATTTGATCATTGGTTGTGTTAAATGTTTCATACATTGTTATATTTTTATTTTTATTTTTTAAGTTTTTTGTGTACCTATTACGTTTTTATTAATTTTTCCACCTGTTAATGGAACTATTCAGCAAATCATCTTAAGCTGTTTATTATTTTTATAATGCAAAAATCTAGTCTTGGTTACAATTGTGTGATACATCACACAAATTAATAAAAACGTAATAGATATTAGTAGTAGTCATTTTGTACGTTCTAGGACAGAGGAGGGAGGAGTGTAGACCACGTGGGTTGAGGTAGGTAACCTCACTTTGCCTAACCTAACCTAACCTTACAGGCAGAGACTGATCCTCTGATTTGGACGACTTTACAGAAACGACAACAACTTTTGAATCTCATTTTATATAGGACCACCAATAGGTTCTCAACTGCACAAAAATGGCGCCGATTGCATCATTCGGTGCTCATGTTTTCACTAGAGGATTTGTATGAAGATGCAGTATTTCGATCTCAATGTATACTGACACGCCATTTGAAACTCACGTTCTAGGACAGAGGAGGGAGGAGTGTAGACCACGTGGGTTGAGGTAGGTCGGGAAGGGAGGTGTGTCCATGACGTCACATGTAAACAGAGGATGATCTTACAGACAGAGACTGATCCTCTGATTTGGATGACAAATTTTTTTGTGTAGATATAAAGAACGTTAAATCAGTTCTCATTTGGTATACTTGTCGTATAATAGGATCTCACGGCTGAGATCGAAAACGACAATAGCTTTTGAATCTCATTTTATATAGGACCACCAATAGGTTCTCAACTGCACAAAAATGACGCCGATTGCAACGTTAAATCAGTTCTCATTTGGTATACTTGTCGTATAATAGGATCTCACGGTTGAGATCGAAAACGACAACAGCTTTTGAATCTCATTTTATATAGGACCACCAATAGGTTCTCAACTGCACAAAAATGGCGCCGATTGCATCATTCGGTGCTCATGTTTTCACTAGAGGATTTGTATGAAGATGCAGTATTTCGATCTCAATGTATACTGACACGCCATTTGAAACTCACGTTCTAGGACAGAGGAGGGAGGAGTGTAGACCACGTGGGTTGAGGTAGGTAACCTCACTTTGCCTAACCTAACCTAACCTTACAGGCAGAGACTGATCCTCTGATTTGGACGACTTTACAGAAACGACAACAACTTTTGAATCTCATTTTATATAGGACCACCAATAGGTTCTCAACTGCACAAAAATGGCGCCGATTGCATCATTCGGTGCTCATGTTTTCACTAGAGGATTTGTATGAAGATGCAGTATTTCGATCTCAATGTATACTGACACGCCATTTGAAACTCACGTTCTAGGACAGAGGAGGGAGGAGTGTAGACCACGTGGGTTGAGGTAGGTCGGGAAGGGAGGTGTGTCCATGACGTCACATGTAAACAGAGGATGATCTTACAGACAGAGACTGATCCTCTGATTTGGATGACAATTTTTTTTTGTGTAGATATAAAGAACGTTAAATCAGTTCTCATTTGGTATACTTGTCGTATAATAGGATCTCACGGCTGAGATCGAAAACGACAATAGCTTTTGAATCTCATTTTATATAGGACCACCAATAGGTTCTCAACTGTACAAAAATGACGCCGATTGCAACGTTAAATCAGTTCTCATTTGGTATACTTGTCGTATAATAGGATCTCACGGTTGAGATCGAAAACGACAACAGCTTTTGAATCTCATTTTATATAGGACCACCAATAGGTTCTCAACTGCACAAAAATGGCGTCGATTGCATCATTCGGTGCTCATGTTTTCACTAGAGGATTTGTATGAAGATGTAGTATTTCGATCTCAATGTATACTGACACGCCATTTGAAACTCATTGTTTTCATGTTGATTTTTACGTGTCTTCTGAGTTGAGTCGTTCCGTGTTTAGTGACGTCACTTGTCTTGGGATCATGTGATCATGGAATGTTCTAGAAACATTACCATAAAAGGAAATGCCACGTGATAGGTCACGTGATCATCTTGGAACGTTCGAGAACATTACCATATATGGTCATGTGTTTCGACGATTGTGCAACAGCCCGCGCGGTCTTGCGTCAGTCTTCTCTGAGAGGTGGTTGTGAGAGGTGCTATTTTTCGAGTCTTTGAAATTGTGTAGTGCGTGAAAAGTAAGTTTTCAACCATTTATAAGTGTGACGAGGATTTGCGGTGATGGCTAGTGTCAGTGCTACGAAGCGATCGTTTCCTAGTGACAACGAGAGTGATGACGACAGCCTTCCTACACCACCAAAGCGTCGTTGGTTCCAACGTTATAAAGACGATATTGAGGAACAACAAGGTGCTAGGGAAGAACACCGCTTGGATGTTGCCTCGGTCTCTGACGGAGAACATCATGTGTCACCGGTTGTTCAAAGTGCTATCAAGCGGTCGTTTCCTCCAGACAACGACAGTGATAACGAGACCCGTCCTATATCACCGAAGCGTCGTCGAGCCCAACATAGTGAGTTGGATATTTCGGAACAACTACAAGGTGCTAGTGAGATGATGGACATTCAAGAGCAGGAAGAAGATGTTTCGGATGTCGTGCAGGTTCTACCTGTCAGGAGAGCCGATACAAAAACATTAAAGTTCTGTGATATATGTCACCTCAGTATTACTAGGAAAAACTGGGCCCGTCATACTGGGAGTGGAGCTCACCAAGCGGCGTGGATACAAAAACAGCAACTAAACCGACCATCCGTCATAGTTCAGCCATCCATCATAGTTCGGCCATCCATCATAGTGCAAGTCCCACGTAAGCCTCCGCCACCACCTAATCTTGAAATCATCCAATCTAAAACGGCGTTCAGAGGTCGAATGAAGACGTTTGAGATCAATAATGTCAAAGTAAATGGTTACAAAAGTGTTGAAACTTTTATCGAAGATTCCAAAAAACTTATAATTGAAAAGGTTCGTGATGAGGGAACTTCATTGAAAATCCAACTTATCCTTAAGTCAAAGTTCGCTAAAGGGATTACGGAAAAAGTCGAATCTGATTTTGAATTCAAAACGAAAAACATCATCATTTACGAAGATTCTAATCTATCAGATTTGTTAAATGAGGCAAAACAAAAACTATTGACTGAGATGGAAAGTTTTAATCACAAAGGCTCCAATTGGAACATGAAAACGATTGAATGTCTTCTTTTACATATCAACCGACTTAAGCCTTTGAAAGGGTCTAGTTACATAGCCCTGCCAGAAAAAATTCGCTTGAAACGTGCTGTTGTAAACATAAAAAACAATGATCAGCGTTGTTTCATGTGGTGTTGTCTAGCAGCACTCCACCCTCCAAAGGTACACCCGGAGCGGATCGAAAGCTACACTGCTTATGTTGATGGATTTCTTGAGTTATTTGATGGGATAGATTTTCCAGTCAAACTGACTGATGTAAAAAAATTCGAAAAGCGTGCAGGATTATCGATCAATGTATACGGTCTTGAAGAAAATAGTGATGTTTTTCCCTTGTGTGTAACAGATGAAGAAAAGCCCGTGCATGTAGACCTGTTGTTGGTTAAAGATGGAACGAACTCACACTACTGTCTAATCAAAAACCTATCTCGTTTAGTTCACAGTCAAGCTACAAAACATGATAGAAAATGCTATATATGCAGACGTTGTCTTCAACACTTTCATAACGAAGACAATTTGAAGACACATATGGAGGACTGCTCTAGACATGATCCCTTAAAAATAAAGCTCCCTACCGCTGGAAAAAATGACAAAATAAGATTTACGGAACACAATAAATCAATGAAAGTTCCTTATGTCATTTATGCTGATCTGGAGAGCATGCTCCTCCCGATTTCTACTTGTGAACCATCGGGAGTTGATGAAAACGGTGCTAAGAGATCGTACACATACAGCTATCAGAAACACGAAGCTATAAGTTTCTGTTACTATATCTCTGGCAGTGAAAAGCCTCCAACGACATATTTCGGGGAAGATGCTGGACGAAAGTTTGTCGAGGTGTTGAAAAAGGAGGCCGTAGAGATAAAACAAATCTACGAAAAGATCATTCCAATGAAACCACTGGAGGAAGAAGAGATACGTAGACATAGAGAAGCGGTAACCTGTCACATCTGCCAGGAACCTCTCAATGAAACCGACAAAGTGAGGGATCACGACCACCTCACCGGTTTGTATCGAGGCCCTGCCCATTCCAAATGTAACTTATTGTTTACTAAGCCCAAATTTATTCCTGTTTTCTTGCACAACCTTTCTGGCTATGACATACATCAGTTCATCAAAGAAATAGGACGACAAGGTGAGAAACTCAAAGTGATTCCCCAAAATGATGAGCGATATATATCATTCACCCTTCAAGTTAGGGGAGGGTTGGAACTGAGATTCTTGGACTCTTTTAAGTTTTTAAGTGCAAGTTTAGACCAATTGATTAACAATTTAACTACAGATCAGTTGGAGCATACAAAGAGATTTGTCAGATCATCACAGATAGAGTTGGTAACAAGAAAAGGAGTTTATCCCTATGACTTTATGGATAACATAACAAAATATGATATGACAACTCTGCCGGAACTTCATGATTTCAAAAACAAATTAAATAAGTGTGATGTATCAGAATCAGATTATGAGCATGCTCAAAAGGTTTGGAATGAGTTCAACATCAAAGATATGAGAGAGTACACATTGTTTTACAACAAGATTGACGTCCTCCAGTTGGCAGATGTTATGGA